TGCTTTCGTTTAACGTGTGATAAGCATAAATACGCGTCTCTAGACATCCGAAGCGACAGTTCGATGCATTCATGACATTCGTTTCCCTCTCCCATATCCGTTCCTCGTTTCCTTGCCGAAACTGGCTTCAAACACAACAACACAATTACTGCATGAAGAATGATTATCAATAATGTGCACATCCATAAATAGAGTAACGAATACCCTATGATGGAATCAGCCATGGGGTTATTTGAAAAAAAAAAAGCACTGTTCACTCATCGCTCATGAAATGACCACAAATTTTTGAGCTGCCAATTATCCCTGCTCACGAAGAAATTTGCTGAATGCTGCTTGATCATTCCTCACGACAAAAGCGTATTTGTAGTTCTTCGCTCACCACTCGTGCTCGTGAGTATGAGATGCTCACTGATCATGCTCACATTTCGTTCATAGGTTCCTGAGTTCGTTGAATGGAATTACCGACATTAACTGGAACGGGCATTTTCCATTATATGAAACTACGTGGAGTCGAGATGACATCCATCTGCAATCAGTTTCCACCGTTCATTCCCTCGTTGCTCGGGCAACACTAACAACTACGGACAACAACAATTATTAGTCTTCGTTCAGTTGATGGGTTGAGCTCAGGCAATCTTACCAGAAAAGAAATTCCTCATTAGAATACCAAAATGGAGAAATGTTCTCTCCACAAAAACTCCGAGCATGTTTTGGTTTGTCATTGCAGTCAGATAAGAAATTGAACTAGCGAAAGCACATGCTATTTTCCGCAATTCACTCTCAATACACTCAACAATCTCATATCGAAATTGCCATCCAAATTTGAATTGAAATGCATGAATTTAAAGTGTTTTTTTTTTCTGATCCCTTCGATACGATTTTTATTGCGTCTTTTTACGAGGGTTTATAAAATTTTAGATTTTCTGTCGATCATAGAGTTGACCTGACGATGAGATTAGAAAAAAAAAGCTTGCAAATTGATGCACTTAAATCCCTGGTTAGATAGCAATTTCGAGATGAGGTTGCTGAATATATTGAGAGCGATACGTGGAAACGAGCATGTGCTTTCGCTATTTCAGTATCAAATCTAGCTGCGATGATTGGAAACTATCACAACATATCGTGAGACAGATCGTAATCTTCAATACGTTTTTTTTAGCAATGAAATGTGCTGTGAAAAATATGTGCTGAGCATAAANTGCTATCCTGATTCGCAAGGAAATTTGAGGTGCATTCAGAATTCCTTCGAGGGATCGTTAAATGACTTTCGAGAGCGTCTCTTCGAAAAAAAATCACGTTGAATTTGAGGCGAAGACTTCGTATGCATGAGAAGGACGACGCATAAAAAGTTAGATAAGAGAGACGTCTCAAAGGTGTTTGATACCTTCCTTGATTTGCCAAGCAAACAAGTCCTCTGAGTATCGTTTGTTTTTCTGTCATGAAACTTAAACACTTTACTCAATTGTTTACATTTTGTGCTCTTTACTACTTTACTCTTTACTACTTCTGATAGGATCACGAATCGATTGTGCCCATATGCTCATATTGAATTCACACAACTTTCTCAAGAGTATGCAAGTCCCTTCTCCTTCCTCCGTTGAACTTCTCTTGTCACTTTCGCAAAAAATTTCAGCACCCAAGCACAACAACAATTCAAAAACTTTCATACTCATCCTCCCAAATCCACACACGCACAAGCACTCTTGAGGATTACTTCGAAATTATCACTGCTGCTTTTACGATGAATACGCATGACCACCGTATTCCAAAAGTTCTCCTTATGGATTTATATCGCCTAGCGAATTTTTGACCTCTCATGATCTTTCCTCTCATGATGATGATTTTCCGATGTGAATGAAGTTTCTTTGAGTTGGAATCTGCAGAAACCACTAATTTTGTTTACTTGTTGTCAATGCGTCGGAAATTTTGAAGCAGAAAAAAAAAGATCCTGTCGCACACATTTTTCGATTGCTTGAAGAGTTATTATTCAGTGGATACGGCTGCCTGAAACAGACGGCCAACTCACATTCGCACTGGATTTGTTGTGGTGTTACAATGCTATTGGTTATGTTGTTTCTTTGGTTCATCATTGATCAGCTGGTGCAAGATTATGTGATGCACTTTAAGTGCTGAAATAAGATTAGGGCTGCTTCTGAATTGTTGAGAGGGATCGTTGTTGAGTAGTGACATACATCTCAAAAAAGTATTTGCAACGATTATTTGACATTCAGCAGCACTAGCAGTGGACATTGTCATTGCTTTTCTTTGTTGCACATCGCATCGCACATCACAACAATGACGAATGTTCCTTCTGAATTCGACCAGATCCGCCCAGTCATACGAGCACCAATAATAACATTTACTCATTATGCGTCCTTCTCTTCATCTTCTTCTCATGCATCTTCATTGCGAACTGATCCGTGAGATTTTGTTCTACAAATCCCCTTCCACTTTGTCATTTAGTTCAAGCTGAACTGCAGTGATCCATTCAACCAACTGCTTCTTAGCTGAACCATAAATCATGTCGCTTTACACGTTCATTCTACTGTCACTGATTCAATTAAGTGATGCTCAACAGTGCGTTAGCTATTCACCACAATATCGTATTCCACTACCAATCGGCATATTCTTACCGGATCCGTTCAAGAAACAACTGAAAGGTGCAATCGACGTTGCACTCAGTCATATTCATAATCAGTCGTGTATTCTGAACGATTACTATTTGCAAATGATTTTCAAAGATACTGAGGTTATCATTACTCTTCTTTTTGCTAATCATTTTCTGACCCTCATGCAGCAAATCTTCTCATTTTCATTAGTTTCATTGTCGACTTTTTGCGTCATTTCTCAATGATGCCTCTGATCACTTATGCTAAATGAACAATTGCCTTTGTTATGCACTGATAAGTGTGCTGTGCTCAGATGTGCTCAGAGCGAAGTTCAAGAACACTCAGCAATGTCGAATGTTGAGCCGAACGCTTGCCAATAAAATAAACTCTCCTTTGGGATTCAGTGAAAAATTAGAAATGACGATACTTTGCAAGCGCGATTAAATGCTTAAATACATAGACTCTTCAGCCATAGGCAAGCAAAAAATCATTTCCCAAAATAATCCATGTTATGATTCAGTCCGCATGAGTGAAACGACAATTCATTGCGTAAAACGATCCTAATTTGATCACCAAAAGNATCAGTTTTCATCAATGCGAATTGCTGGATGATTTTGCCGCAGGTACGAGCCTCTCGCACCTTCCAGTCCAACCACAGGCAAACAATCTGTCAGTGATTCCTGCTGCTGCTGCTGAAAGCATTACAAGCATTGATATTGCATGCGAATTCTTGATTATGAGGTTTAGTGAACACCGTTTGCTATTACTTGAATGTACGATAATAATAACGTATAAAAGAGCGCTTCAGTATGGATTGACATCATCAAAACAAGCGAATGTGCACTGAGACGGAATCGTTGATAAGTGAACGAATGGATGAATAAACGAAAGCATAATTCGATCGCATAAATCACCATTTTAAATAGCGTTTTGACAAAGCACACATCTGAAAACGCAATACAATTCAAAGAATTTATAATGAACGAAAGCACTCTTCAACGATTTTATGCAATCACTTATAGCAACCGTCGGTTGGATAGTTGAATTATTACTGGCATTGCGTTTTAATGCACAATTCTATGCCGAATATGAATACGCTAAAGAAGAGAAATTCGAATTTCATCCTTTTGTTGATCGCGTTTGTTTTTTAACGCTGAATGGCATTTCTTTTTTTTCTTTTTTCATTTTTATGTGTTTGATAGCTTCCAAGTCAATCCATCAACGCAAAACACTGCTGCACGATTGGAGTGCCGTCGTTGATGAAGGAGGACTCGACAATATCTTCATTTGGATCATCACATCAAGCAGCATCAGCAGCAGACAGTCTTAATTTCGAATTTACTCGCATTCGCTCGAGCCTTTGTCATTTCCATATTTTGATTATCACAATTGTGCCATACTTGATTCGTTCGAATCATATTCCGTATGCGTTATTGCATTAAATTTTGTGAGCACAATTATTGTTTGATTCAAAAAAAGAGGCATCGGGTATGGCATGCATGAGCATCAAGTGAGCGTTAGAACGGGTGTAACACATCGTCGCAACAATCCAATTGTGATACTCATCAACAATAAATACAATTTGTGCAATGATGTGAAGAAACACACAATATGAATGGAGTAGGTTCGTATCCGGAGAAATGAAGTTACGGCATGTGCTTATTGCACGCTAGTGAGTGAATGAGCAAAGCGAAGAAGACATCTTCAAACATAATCAACTCACAATCGCATTCAAATTTTTTCGAATATTCATTGCTCATTTCTTCATATATCCATGCATTCATCTTCATCAGTTATAAGAATATTTGCATGTCTCAAGCTTTTGCAAATTCCTATCGACTGCCTTCCATAATTCTAATACGACGTTGGCTTTTGAAACAAATTTTGATAGCAATAAACAACAGAACGTTACGAGCGCAATTCGGTTTATACAGCAGGATATCCAATTCATGGAAATTCATCATGAATTAGTTTTGACGAACCAACCGCAGGATTATGGTTAAACCTTTTCTCGTGTTCTAAATGATCGCAGATCAACTTTATTTCAAAATCAGAATGCACTGATTAATTTTAGTTGACAAAAGAAATCAGCGAATGATTCGAACAGTTGACCAAAGAAATCAGTGTTGTAACTTGAGCATTTCGCCATGACACGCTAATGAAGAAGAGGTAACACGATCGAATGACTGAGCAGTAAAAAAATAACGAGATAAATTTTAGTGCAAAACATCGGTTGGCATGAAAGCGTTATTCGAATTGATGAACGCCGAGCCACGTCCATTTGCATTATTCGGTGACGCTTGTACAAATGTTAACGAACCGGTTGCGATGGCTTCCAAGTACTGGCACTTACTGCATCTGTCGTACGCTGAAACACATGCAAAATTCGCTAGTACAGATTCACAAGAGGTATTTGTTAGCACTAAACGATTGAGGTCACGTTTAGTCAGCACAGCCATTAAGACTTAGTCAGCTTAATGTGACGATGAATTTCGTTTCATTTTTCCTCAAGAATTTAGCGTCGATTGTCAGCTAAAAGAAAATTGGTTCTCTTTGCACATAGTACGACGTCTATAAATCACAAAAATGGAAGTGATCATCGGGAATTGAGCCTTTAAAATGGTGTGAATTTCATTTGAAATTGAAAAACGATGAATGACGAATGAAAAAATGTTTTTGTCGATTCACAGATGTACCCAACGTTCTTTCGCATTGTGCCTGGCGATCGAAACATAAATGAGGCTCGATGTCGACTTATATTCCATTTCAATTGGACACGTGTTGGGACCGTCAAGCAGAGTGATGAGCCTCGTTTTGCACTGGTAAACTATTATTATTATTCACTGATTATGAGAAGTTTTATTTGTGCTGTCTTTTGAGCAGCATTCATCTCACTGTAGACCAATTCGTTTTTATCAACGTTGACACCTTATTAGTCGTTATTTTATCTAACTAATATTACGCAAAATTCAGCAGCACTGAGATAAACGTACTGATTGGCTGATAATAAGAAAATGACATGTTGCAAAGAAGAAGTTAATTTTTGCGAACTGAACTCTTTTGGTGGTTAATGTTTTGGTTAGGTTATAGATGAAGAATTTTCTGAATGAGATGACAATGAAATGAAATGCTTTTGGGGTTATGTTTGATTGCTGACGAGCTAAAAAAAGAACGAAAACATCATTGTCGAAGATACGCTCAACAATTCGATTGAGTGCACAAAATTTGATTCGCCTCATTTGAGCGGAGCCATTTAATTAAGTGGGGAATTTAGTGCCTCTCATTACAATCATATTCACTCGCTTCATTCATCAGTACACTCTTAGTAACTGAGAAACTGCGTTCAGAATGCATTCTCATCTTGTCTCGCATTAATTATCATTAATTGATTACTTATCCCTTCGGAATATTTCATTCCATTGGAGTGATGAACAAAACACAGACTGTTCTGCGAACGTTTTGCTCATTCCAATTATTAAAACCGTGTGAACATTGCTAATAGTCACCGAAAAAGAGGATCGACAAGAAAAATGATTGGAATTCAATGTGAGCTGAACTTGCCGAACAGCTGCGGAAACAGTTTTGAACTTGAACCCGAAAAGTTGCATTCACGAAATTAATCAGACAATAACTTGTCATTCATCATATATCTAACATGCTATTGCGATATTTATAGCCACATGAATCGTTAACCACAAAATTGGAACACGGATACGGCATTAAAGTTGTATACACGGCAGGCATAACTCATGATGAAATCGAGAACATTGGTTTGGAGCTTGATGAAATGAAGGTTACTCTATCGGTGTTCTCTACTAAAAATTCGTTTTTCAGTCAGCAAGATCAGTGTGGCATTTTTATTTGCATTGCAATTGCGAGTTGTTCCCTCTTATTTATCCTTCCAATTACACAGCCGTGGATGCCAATTACATTGGGCTAAATAAGCGCTCGTTTTGGATTTCATCATTAAGCAAATCGTTGAATATTGTTTATCACGTTCCAACAGTCAAAATGCATAAATTACCGCATGCAAATAATATCGTTGCACAATTGGCAAGAACCGTTAGTTCTTACACGAGCTCATGTGACAACTCATTTTTTCCTCAAAAATAAACATACGCTCTCCATAAACATTTAAACATTGATAATCTATTCTCGGAAATTCATCAGTAGAAAAAGTTGTTTGAATTACATTCGATGGATTATTTCGCAAACAATATTGGATATCCTGAGGAAGTTTGTTGCAAAAAAAATTCAAGGAAAGCTTCAAAAATTAAAGCGGAATAGTTTATGTGTTTGTCTTGTTAGAACGGCAATCATGAANATCGCTTGTTCAGATGAGGGATGTGCGTATATTCGTTGGAGATTTTGAAGAGGTGCTCGCAAGTCGAATTATGTGCGAAGTTTATCAGAGGGGAATATACGGTGATAACTATGTCTGGATTTTGCCCGGATATCATTATGGTATCATTTCTCTTCAACTATTCGAAACCTTTTGAACGGTTGAATATTATTGATGCGAACAATAGATAGAGGAATGTTCCATGGAAATAAACATTGTTTTAAAATAGAGATTCCAAAACTCATCTGACTCTAGACATGTGAAAGATGACGGTTAATGTTATAAATGTTAGCGATGACTCAACCTGCCCCTTCCACACTGAATCCGTGACCTTCATTAAGTGTTCTTATTCAGTACCCTGAAACAGCGATGAAGATGTCTAGAGAAAAGTCGTGATTTGTATAATATCTACCTTCTGTAGGACAAATGCTTTTCCAATAAAGGATTCTTAGCTCTTCATTAAACTCTTCAGTGTGGAATAAATTAGATATTAAGAAATCATTTAACCTGTTCACAGGTTTAGCTACATTTGCTCATGTTAACAGATCAGAAAGTATTCTCTTTTACCTGCTTCATAATCTCCATTGAGTATGCACTCGTTCACTCGAGCTTCATCATCTTCTTTATTGAATATGACATACTTGTTGAGGTGAATGGTGGAAGAACGCGACTGCTACGAACTGTACGGCAGAAGAGATCAGCACTGCGATCAATGGTCATTTCGCAATTCAGTTCGCATCCTACTCGCCATACTTGCAGCAGAGAACTATTGGCAATAAAGTAAGTATGAACAAATACATTCATACTGTGTCTTCACCGAATACTTTCTTCTAACGAAATGCTCAAAAAACCTGTTCTATAATTTCATCCGTTTGAGATATGCCTTAATATGCTTCAATAATTCAACCACGTTTGGCTCAATAAAGCTTTGATTCAATTGGAAGAACTTGAACACTTCTTTTGTTTGACCGACAGTTGCGATTTTTGATCAACTCATTTCAGTGGTATTCAACACAAGCGCATACCATGTGTATTCAATGCTTGTTTAAATGAGAAAAACGATTTTGAAGAACAATTTCATTCTCAAGATGCACTTATTGAATTCAAATTGCATGAGAGGCAAAAAATTTCAGACGGTTTCTGAAGTACGCGATGAAATCGAACAATCGTGCAATGATGATTGTGAAGCGAGTGTTTTACGAGCATATGCCTATGATGGTCTATGGACGATTGCAATGGCTGTGCATCGTGTCTCAATGAGATATCAACGAATTTACGGCACAATGTGGGATCCATTAAGTGAGAGCGGCAACGACAGTAGCACTCATACGAGACTCTTGATCGAAATCAATAACACATCATTCAGTGGTGCCACGGTATGCTAATGAGCTTTCGAAGCCAATTTATCCCGGTTTCACAGTTCACTCCATCGATGGATAACTGAGGAAACCTTACTGAAGCTCGTGAAGATTTACCCATCAGCAAGCTGTAACCACTAGTCANTGTGATCCGTTAATTTTCTTTGAGCGGTTGGATAATACCAACATTGCTCGAAATTGTGTTCAGCTGCTAAAGTAAGTAATTAAAAAGAATCACAGATAGAGTAATAAATGAAAATCGTTCTTCAAAGGGCCATGTACGTTTCGAGAACAACGAACGATTGGGTGTTGTGGAAATATTGCAGTGGCGTAACGGTTCATATTTGAATGTTGGTTACTTCGACGGTTCGGATGAAGCCTTTGTGCTGAACCCAATTCTAGAAAGTAAGCTTCATTGAGGTCAATTTTTATGCACAAATTTCATCATGCCGAAGTTGTCTTGAATGCAAAGTACACTAATTATCATATAGAACGAATTGTTTTATCGAGCATCTTATCAGTCAAGCAGTGTTTTTGGTGCGATCCCTATAGACAATTTTCGCAAGCAAATGACATTCTGATTTGTTATCAACACGATTTTCCTTCCCTTCAACCCGTGATTCATGTCACAGGTTCGCTGAAACGGCCAGAAATCAACACAACGAGCTCCAGAAGATCCATTGAACATTGTAATCCAGTAGTATTCCATTGTGGCTATCCAAAACATGAGCATGTTGCTAAAGGAATCAGTGTCCCACTAAGTGGGCATTTACTGTGAGATTAGTTCAGATTGGCGTGCACCACTTGATGCAACTATAGTGCTTCATCAACGACTTTACATAGCCAATGCACTCGTTATTTTGATGTCGTTACTGGCGGCTGTTGGTGTCACATTGGCATTTATCTTCCTTACACTCAATATTCAGTACAGAAATCATCGGTATTGTTTTTTTTCTCCCGTTCTTTCCTTCTACATCAATACGAAACGACTGAGTTAAAATGAGTTGATTTCTTACGAACTATTATGACTGAATCTTTTGCGAATTTTGATCATGAGTTAGGGAGAGCATTTTTTAAATGAAGTGGATCATTTCACGATGGAAATAGTGTGCGATTTATAGTGCAGAAACGAAGGTTATAAATACGGTTGTGAAAAATTTTTTAGATTCATCAAGATGTCATCACCGAACATAAACAATTTAATAATTGCCGGATCAATATGCACTTACATTAGCGTTATATTGCTTGGTCTTGATACAAGGATTGTATCGCCACGGGGATTTGTTGCTCTTTGTTATGTATGTTTCATGCATTCAATATTAGACTTATACGCGATTATGAAGCTTTACTATGAACTGCTGCATTTTCCTGCTCAAAGTAACCAATTACAATCGTTTTGATGCAATTATACGGTCGGAAGTGAACTGCGCGAATATCCTTATTTCAGGCGAAAACGTGGATCCTATGTTTAGGGTTCACGTTCGCATTTGGATCGATGTTCTCGAAAACGTGGCGGGTTCATTCGATATTTACGAATATTCGTATGAACAAGAAAGCGATCAAAGACTATAAACTATTCCTTTTTGTTGGTCTTATTGCTCTTCTTGACGTGGCCACATTAACGCTTTGGGCGCTAGTAGCACCTTTCTCATTGTCGATTATTCAACTGGATGCAATTGTTAGTATTTAATGATAATAAGTTCATTGTTGGATAGTGATCAATTGAACGTGTTTTCGATGGAATTGCTTCTTTGCAGTATATGGAGAACAAAGTGATTGCGCCTGAAATTGAGCGATGCTATAGCGATGAATCGGTTGTTTTTGAAGCAATCATTTTCGGGACAAAAGGACTTTTGATGGTTATTGTTTTGGTGTATTTGATGATAGAACAATTCTCAACTAGAGGATTGACTGAACTAGACTCTGAAAACACAGTTTCATCACTACCAACATACTTGTTAGGTTATTAACCAGTGGCTGTCAGTGAAACCGTCGGATTTTCTCCAGTAGGAAGTGAAGAAATTTTCTCTATGGACTCCTTGAAGCAAGAGTTTATTACGCTTACTCTTTCTCACCCTTTCCTAAAATTCATTTGGGCAAATTGTAGTAGCAGCCTGCTTCCCCACACGATTGTCAATGAAAAAACGTTTGAAAACCTGCTTCCCCACACGATTGTCAAAAACGTTTGAAAAAAAAAAACGTTTGAAAAAACTATCAGGACAAGTCTATTCAAAAAATTGAAATAATTCAGATTCTGGGTTGCTTCCTGGCCTGGGAAACACGCCATGTCAATGTGGCTGCCTTAAACGATAGTAAATACATTGGAATGTCCGTCTATAACGTTGTCGTTATGTGCACATTAGGCCTCGCATTAGCCTTCATCCTTCAGGTAACATTCTCCTATCTGTTGTCTTCTTGCGATTGTCCTTTTTTTGCGTTCTCAGGTATCGACTTTATTTGACTCACTATTAATAATGATCTCTCACTGATGTCATAATGTCATATCCTGATATCACGTCAAAATTCGTAGGATATGATGAATGAATTAGAGCAGAAAAGTCTTAAATTGATTACAGGATCGAATTAATGAAGCGTATGCATTGACAACGTTCTTCATCATTTTCTGTACAACACTCACTTTGTGCCTCGTTTTTGTGCCGAAGGTTATTTGCTTTTTTTTCATTTTTACCAATTATATTTTAAAGCATTTCAAAGGAATTGTAATATTCAATTGAATGGCTCAATTATAATGTGGTTGTTCCGATACTATGAAACTAGCTGATTACTTCGAAAATTCGATAAACTTGAACATTTGCATTCAGATCGTAGTATTAATAAGGAATCCAAGTGGAGTGGAGCCGAGTTATCAAAAAGGTCTCATGAAATCAGTTATTGGCAATCAAACAAAGCAATTCGTTAGACAAGTATCTGTGTACGTTTGCCTAATCTTATTGAATCGACTGTATTATCAGTTAAATTTGCGATCAAATGATGTTTTATATTCTTATAATGGCGTGCTAAGGTAGCAAGTTGAATTTAGTCAGATGTTTTGTCATCTATAATGTAAACAATCGGATTATAAATACATTGGGATGTGCCGTAAAGGCGGCTTCATAACATAAACTCCATAATGTTTGGTGATTGATGACGAAATCGGGTTGAAATCAAAGAGATAAATTCAGCAAAGTAACAACGAATGAACGTGAACGATTGCAACGTTTAGAGGAGGATAATGTGATGTGGCAACGATTTCTTGTTGAGGTATGACGTGCTAATGTGCATGCATTACTTCGGAATAATGTGTTCAGTTTCGTTCGTTGTTTGATTGAAACTTTTTGACCAAAATCTGTGAATGTTATTTGATCAGTGATTGGTATAGTTTGTTATCTATTCTTTAATTTCAGAAGACGAATCAGCTATGGGATTTGACTCAAAAATTGAAAGAACTCGATGAACTGGATCAGAAACAGTTGAAAGGTTTGATACCACTAAATTGAATTATCTATTTGATTATAACAGTGATTCCCATTCGATCATGAGAGCAACGAGAAATCATGAGAAAAAAAATGTAAACACCCAAGTGAGTTGATTGTTCCATTCAATACATATGTCTTATGCTGACTCCTTTTTCTGTTTCATACCTTCAAAGAACAACTTCATTGTCAAGAAGAATTTCAAGCGAATGTAATGTGTACTGGTTGAGTGACTATCAATTGAAATGATTAATATTGCGAAGAATAGGATACGGCTAACATTTGCCGAAGCCGCCTCATTTGATCGATCTCGGAGAAACTTTCAATTTGATAGAGACTTAATCTTTATTTGAAGTGCAAAGACATAATTATAATACAATCATAATAACATTTGATAAGTCTATGACAATAACAGAAGCTTTGCATGCCTCTGGGTCCTTGAAAATATTGCAGTGTCAATTTATTCCAGCATCACAGCTCCCACAAAATGACGCTCAAGTAGATTGATCACAACAAAAATGATACCATTAAAATGATTATGAATAAATGATATGTGACGAATGCTTTATCGCCGACTGCCGCATCTACAACACCGTTCATTGTGCTCATATTAAACTCACGTGCCACACGGTCCACTCCGAAATCGTTGCATAAGTCTGTTGAACAACAACAAAATCTGAAGT